GGCACTTTTGCCGTGTTTTTGATATACTTTAAGTGTTTTTTTGCAAAGAAATGAATGAAATCACCTTGAATTCTTATAAAATACTTGAAATTTCTCAATCTTACCGTAGAATTGAGTCAGTAAACGGTTTTCTTGAAGTCATTTTGTCATTTTGTGGTCATTTTGTGGTCATTTTGTGCTCTTTTTCGTGCCAAGTCAACATTTGTTCAAAAATGAGAAAAGACAATGGAAATTCATATCGAAAAGGAAAAGAAAGAGATCTCAGACTCACATCCGGATTCCATTACAACGCTCACACTCTTCCATTTTCCATTTGAACTGAAAAATGCGAGTAAACAAAGGAGAGTGAGCCTCTTTTCTTCTAGGAATTCATGGATTTATTTGTTTTACATGCTAAACCCATGCTATAGTTCTTCTGCTGTACTTTGTGATCTTGTAAACACATCTATCTAGTGGATTGACTGATCTTTTTGTTTGGCTTAAGCTTTGGCTTAGGCTTAGGCTTTCTGAAAAGCTTGGCGAAGCACTTGCTTTTCCAAAAACTGAATTCTAAACCTTTCTCTTCTCAATTTGCTAACTTACCCGAAACACTTAATTTTTCCTTTTACTTACCATCATTAACATTTTATTAACAATATCTATTATAAATAAAGCAGAAGAGACGTTTGTCCGTTCGTCCGTCTGTCCGTCTGTATGTCTGTCCGTCTGTCTGTCCGTTAGTGTGTCCGTTCGTTCGTCTGTCCGTTCATCTGTCCGTTCATCCGTTCGTTCGTCCGTCCGTTCGTCCGTTCGTTCGTCCGTCCGTTCGCCTGTCCGTCTGTCCGTCCGTCTGTCCGTCTGTCCGTCTATCCGTCTATCCGTCTATCTGTCTGTTCGTCTGTCCGTCTGTCCGTCTGTCCGTCTGTCCGTCTGTCCGTCTGTCCGTCTGTCCGTCTGTCCGTCTGTCCGTCTGTCCGTCTGTCCGTCTGTCCGTCTGTCCGTCTGTCCGTCTGGCCGTTCGTTCGTCCGTCCGTTCGCCTGTCCGTCTGTCCGTCCGTCTGTCCGTCTGTCCGTCTATCCGTCTATCCGTCTATCTGTCCGTCCGTCTGTCTGTCTGTCTGTCCGTCTGTCCATCTGTGCGCAACCATTGGCAAAAAGGGGCGGAGATTAGATTGCATGAACATTATTGATCATTTTTTTGTTGGCTCTGCTATATTTAGCCTTTTTAATATTTTTTGAATAAAGCAATTAGCTTTTAGTTGCTGGAAATCTTCTGAAACTTTTTCAGGCATAAATCAGCATGGAGCGTTGGCCATTGGCCAATTCTCGTTGGCCAAAAGCAGCATTGGTCAATTCTCGTTTGTTTTCTGCCCAGAGTTGGTTCTATTTCTACTTCTACTTCTTCATACAAAGCCAATGATAAGCCAGAAGCTAACCACAGCCAGTGATCTAATCTTTCTTTCTTTCTTTCCTTCTTTCTTCCTCTCTCTTTCTTCCTCTCGCTTTCTTTCTCTCTCTTTCTTTCTCTCTCTTTCTTCCTCTCTCTCTTTCTTTCTCTCTCTTTCTTTGATCTTTAATCTTTCTGTGATCAAAATTTAGACTTTTTCCATACTCATCACAATTTTTCATACATCAAATCAATAAAAAACTCAGCAAAAACATTTCGAGAGAAAGTTCTCTTCAAAAATCTTTGAAAATCTTGCTTTCTTGCTTCGTAAATCGAACTGAATGAAGTCTAGGGATTTATTGAGATTAGTTCTAGTGTTTCTAACGAAATTCAACTATATACTTCTCTCAACTTTTATCTAACCTCTTCTCCAAATCTTTCTCACTCCAAACTACTTCTCAAATCTGGGCAAGTTCAAAGGATCCTCTTTTCCCTTTTCAAGAGGTTCTAGAGGTTCTCTGCCATTGTTCTCATCGATAATTCGAGGGTCATCCACATTTATTTTTCTTTATTCTTTATCTTTAATTGGTTCTAATAAAGAAAATCGAAAGATTTAGAAAATTTCCAAATTTCTGTCATTTTTCTTTTTAAAAGTAGTCTTTTTAATCTTTTTAAAAGACTTTTTAAAAGAATTTCATTAGTTTAAAAGGCTTTTTAAAAGAATTTCTTTAATTTAAAAGATAACAGGTGAAAAAAATGGCCATTAGAATGCACATTTTAACATTTTTTTTGGTTAAAAAACTTGATATTGATGTTTTTCTTGTAAAAAACCAAAAACAAAACGATTTTTCAGCTTTAAATAGAAAAAATCTTTGCTTAAAACCCTCAAAAGATTGATTTTAAAAGAAATTATTGCATTTTTATTATAATTAAACGATTTTTAATGATTTTTTTAGACAAAAACCTTAAAGAAATTGGGATTTTAAGAGTTTTCTCTAAAAGTTAAACCAAAAATCTTATGATTTACACAAATTTTGCAAAGAAAACCTGAAGTTTTCTCTAAAATCAATTGTGAAAGTCTTGATTTCAGTTATTAAATCATAAAAAAAGAGTTTAGAACTTGAAATTCACAAATAAACATCTGTAGATAGAGAAATTTAAAGATTTCAAAGAGTTTCAAAGATTTCTTTCCTCTCTCTCTACCAAAAATCTTTAACTCCAGCAATTCAAAGATTCATTTACTCTACTTTTACCCAATTTTGTGTCTGTCCGTCTGTCCGTCTGTCCGTCTGTCTATCTCTCCGCCTGGCCGTCTGTCTATCTCTCCGTCTGTCCGTCTGTCCGTCTGTCCGTCTGTCCGTCTGTCCGTCTGTCCGTCTGGCCGTCTGTCTATCTCTCCGTCTGTCCGTCTGTCCGTCTGTCCGTCTGTCCGTCTGTCCGTCTGTCCGTCTGGCCGTCTGTCTATCTCTCCGTCTGTCTATCTCTCCGTCTGTCCGTATGTCCGTCTGTCCGTCTGGCCGTCTGTCCGTCTGGCCGTCTGTCTATCTCTCCGTCTGTCCGTATGTCCGTCTGGCCGTGTCGTGGCCGCTGTCTATCTCTCCGTCTGTCCGTCTGTCCGTCTGGCCGTCTGTCTATCTCTCCGTCTGTCCGTCTGTCCGTCTGTCCGTCTGTCCGTCTGTCCGTCTGTCCGTCTGTCGATCTCAGACTCACATCCGGATTCCATTACAACGCTCACACTCTTCCATTTCCATTTGAACTGAAAAATGCGAGTAAACAAAGGAGAGTGAGCCTCTTTTCTTTTAGGAATTCATGGATTTATTTGTTTTACATGCTAAACCCATGCTATAGTTCTTCTGCTGTACTTTGTGATCTTGTAAACACATCTAACTAGTGGATTGACTGATCTTTTTGTTTAGTTTAGGCTTAGGCTTTCTGCAAAGCTTGGTGAATCAGTTGCTTTTCCAAAAACTGAATTCGTTTAAACCTTTCTCTTCTTCTTTTCTCAATTTGCTAAAAATAACTTACCTGAAACACTTAATTTTTCAATTTACTTACCATCTTTAACTTTTATCAACAATATCTACTATATAAAGCAGAAGAGACGTCTAGTCCGTCTATCCGTCTGACCGTCTGTCTGTCCGTCTGTCTGTCCGTCTATCCGTCTGTCCGTCTGTCCGTCTGTCTATCCGTTTGTCCGTCTGTCCGTCTATCCCTCTCTCTACCAAAAATCTTTAACTCCAGCAATTCAGAGATTCCTTTACCCTACTTTTACCCAAATATTGTGTGCAATTTCTGAAGGATATCTTCCTCGTCTTTTCTCTTTCATTTGAATGTTGGTAGTGCCTAATTTCATTTCATTTTCCAGAAACTCTTCTTTTTCTTTTCTCTTTCTCTTCGTCAACCGAGAGAAGAGGTGGGAACGCTTGATTGCGCCTTCTTTTTGCTCTTTTGCCTTTTCCTAACCCATCGCCACATGAAACCTTCTCACAATCTTGGAACACGGGAATTTTAAACACCTTTCCTCATTAGTTCTTCAAAGAAGACTCTATGAATTATTTTAAGAGCTTAAATCTAAGAGTACTTTGTACTGTTCCTATCAGTACTATCAATATCAGTCTATCAATATCAGTACAATCAGTACAATCAGTACTTTGCTTTTCTAAGCACGAATTACCTTACTGCCTTACGAATTGCCTTACTTACCAGTTTTCTGCGTCTAATTACTGTTCTTCTAAGCAAGAATTGCCTGGCAGACTTCAGTGTTCTGCACGTACTTTCTGCTCTTGGATTACAGCTCTTCTAAGCAAGAATTGCCTGGCATACTTACCAGCTTTCTGCCCCTACTTTCTGCTCTTGAATTACTGCTCTTGTCAGCTCAAATTGCCTGGCATACTTACCAGCTTTCTGCCCCTACTTTCTCCTCTCACAAAAGCACCATTTCTGCCACATTTCACAACTTTCATTCAGCAAAAAAGTGAGCGTTTGTCCAAATGCTTTGTACTCTCCAAATCCACCTAAACGTACCCTTTCTAGCACAGGATGTAACATTAAGAAAGCCTTTTGATTTCTCAATACTTGCATCTTTCTACTTCTCATTGAATATGTTCTTTAGACTTTTGAGTCCTTCAGACTACAAATCCTTCAAAATTCAGACTTTGTTCATAGATTTGAAAGTTGTTTTTGGATTGAATTCCTTGAAAAGCTTGAAAGAGTTAACATTTTCCATGTCAAATTTTGTTTTCTTTTCATTTTTTGGAGGTTTTCTAGCTTTTTGATCGTTTAGAAATCGTTTTTAGATCTAATTTCTTTCATTTCTTGTTTAAAACTGTTAAAACTGGGTCTTTTCTAGCTTTTTGCTCATTCAGAAATCGTTTTTAGGTCTCATTCCTTTCATTTCTTGTTTAAAACTGTTAAAACGCGATCTTTTCTAGCTTTTTAATCATTCAGAAATCTTTTTTAGCTTTAATTCCTTTAATTTCTTGTTTAAAACTGCCAAAAAATGTTTAAAAAAAAGATTCTTATTGATTCGATTCTGTTAATCGTAATCTCTTTGAGTTTTTCAATGCTTTAAAGCTTTCTTTTGCTGGTTTTGTTGCTTTTTTTTGTTAAATATTGTTTTCAGATCAAAGAAAAAATGTGGCTTTTCTCGATATTTCTCCTCTCATTCGCGATTTTTCTCAACGCTTTCACCGTCGTTCCGTACATTCAAATCGATTTCGCTCACTATTTTCGATTGGCACAATGTCAAGCAAAATGCTCAGAAAAGGTAGATTTAAGAAAAGAAATCACAAAATTCAAACGAAATGAAAATTTCAAAATTTCAGTACGGAATTTTGTCTAAAAAAGCTCTCAATGACGGCTCGATGGAAGAATATTTTAATGTTAGCGAGGAGGAAGCGAAATTTGTAAGGAAAACGATAATAAAACGATGCTAAAACAATAATAAAGCTAATAAAACAATAATAAAGCTAATAAAACAATAATAAAGCTAATAAAACAATAATAAAACAATAATAAACCTAATAAAACAATAATAAAACAATAATAAAGCTAATAAAACAATAATAAACCTAATAAAACAATAATAAAGCTAATAAAACAATAATAAAGCTAATAAAACAATAATAAAGCTAATAAAACAATAATAAAGCTAATAAAACAATAATAAACCTAATAAAACAATAATAAAACAATAATAAAGCTAATAATAATAATAATACTTTATTCAAACGATAAAGTGAAAGAAATGATAGAGAAATGCACAGTGATACTTAATCATACAATACATACTGAAATCAATAAGCCAATTACTTACGGCAAAGAGCCACTAGATCTAAAGCATCGATACGTTTCTTGAATATGAAAAGCGACTGAATTTCTCGTATGTCGTTTGGGAGCAAGTTCCATAATCTAGCGGCTCTAACGGGAAATGAATTTGATAAAGAGGCATTGGAAGCAAAGGGAATTTGCAAAAGGAATGAGCCACTTCTGGGCCCTGACCGCGGTTTAAATTTGAAAAAGTCTATAAACAAAGGGCTAATCTGTTTACTACGGAGGATTTTGAAAGTTTCGACTAAATCAATGACAAAGCGACGATGCTGTAAAGTTTTTAGTTCAAAAAAAGCAAGTCTCTCCTCATAAGTAAAGCTAGAATATTTAGAATAGTGATAATAAAATAAAACAATAATAAAACAATAATAAGGCTAATAAAACAATAATAAAGCTAATAAAACAATAATAAAATAATAATAAACCTAATAAAACGATAATAAAACAATAATAAAGCTAATAAAACTATAATAAAACAATAATAAAGCTAATAAAACGATAATCAACGATCGATTAATCGCTTTTCTCGATTTTAAAGAATTTAGATGAGATTCAGATTTCACTACTGCACTAAAACGATAATAAAACACTCGATTTGATTAAAATCTAAGTTCAAATAATCACTTTTTTAGTGTGAAATGGGTTGTCAACAGAATCGTCGCAGTAAAAAGTTAAACAAAGAAGCAAAAGAGGCACTGATCGACGGGATTCGATTCTGGGGTGAATCGGCGGCGAATTCTTGTAAGTTTTAGTAAAGCTTTTTGTTTTAATCTTTATCTAAATGACTTACAAATTATAATACCAATGATTTATAATGAAATGATAGAGAATAAGCTGATTGATTAAGATAAGCTGATGAGCTCAATCAATTGATTAAGCTAGGTTACTGTAGGATAGTAGTAGTGGTCTCGAATAGTAGTGTAATACTGGTCCAGCCGAGTTGATGACTATTTTACAGTTTCTAAGCTTTCCCAGAAACTCAGCATTCTAATCCTTTACAAGATCTCATTCTCAGCTACATTTCTGACCCCACATCAATAGATTTTGATAAGCCGTTCTCGAGATTTCGAGGAATTTAGGTAAGGCTCAGGATGCACTAGAGAATACGCTATTTGTGAGAATACGGCAGCCAGTATTACGGTACTTGTCGTGGGATACCGTACTTGCTACCGTCTAGATACCGTCTAGACGTTGGGTACTGTACGTAAAACTTTCTTTAGTTTTGTACTGAGTATTGTAGCATACCGGATTCTCTCTAATAGTAGCCCCTACCGAGCCGAGTTGATGGCTATTTTACAGTTTCTAAGCTTTTGTAGAAACTCAACACTCTAATCCCTTGCAAGATCTCATTCTCAGCTATATTTTCCGCCCTCACATCAATAGGTTCTGATAAGCGGTTCTCGAGATTTCGAGGAATTTAGGATCAGTAGTTTCCAATTGTAGAAGCTTCCAATTGTAGAAGCTTCCAATTGTATTCAACATTTCTGGAAGAATCTCCCCGTCGAGCCGAGTTAATGACTATTTTACAGGCTCTAAGCTTTCCCAGAAACTCGAGGCTCTAAGCTTTCCCAGAAACTCGAGGCTCTAAGCTTTCCCAGAAACTCGAGGCTCTAAGCTCCCGCAAGATCTCATCGTTAGCTACATTTTCCGACCCTACAAGGATAGGTTTTTTGAAAGATTTTTAAAAGAATTCTATAGAAATAAAGATGAAATTACAATGTTATTAGAATAAAAATCAATCAGAAATTCTATTCTAATAGCTTTTGATAATTGAATTGAGTATTTGAATTGAGTATTGGATTGTTTAATTGATTGATTTGACTGAAATTTTGTTTCAAATTTTGGTTCAAACTTTGCTTCAAATTTTTGAAAGAATTCTATAGAAATTAAGCTGAGATTTTAGCTTTATTTTAGCTTTATTTTAGCTTTATTTCAGCTTTATTTAAGAAGAAATAGTCTAAAAATCTATTCCAATATAACTAAGATTTGATTGAATAAAAACTTTCAGCAAAAGTTGGCTCAAATCCGCTTGCATCAGTGCAACTTCTTTGCCAAACGTCAGCCTCAATCGAGTCAGATTTCGATGAATCAATTACAGGTTTTTAATAATAAACTAAATTATATAAAAGCCAAAATATAGATAAAAAATATAGGTAAATAAAAACTTGTGTCCGATTTCGATGTCCGAAACGTGTCCGATTTCTCTTGAATTTTATCATTTACATAATAATATACCGTAAATACTGGAATAGTACCCCACTCCCCTGCGTAAAGTCGCGTAGTCGCAAAGGTTTTTTTAGTATTTTATTTTTTTCAAAGCGTCCGTACTTTCAAAAAATGCGTCTTTGGTCTCAAAACAAAGCCCTGAATTTCAGCTATTTTTTGATACCAAAACGAACATTCTAGCATAAACCAGTGTCGAGAAAAACTTGTTCAAAGCTAGACTACGCGACTATACGTGTTCGGAGTCTAGCTTTGAACGAGTTTTTCTCGACACTGGTTTATGCTAAAATGTTCGTTTTGGTATCAAAAAATAGCTGAAATTCAGGGCTACTTTTTGATACCAAAAGGCGCCGTGTAGCATAAAATTGGGCTGAGAACGAGGCATCTAAAGTTAACAAACGCCGCCCCCCCCCTCGACCAACTTTAGATGCCTCGTTCTCAGCCCGATTTTATGCTACAATGTTCGTTTTGGTATCAAAAAATAGCCCTGAATTTCAGCTATTTTTTGATACCAGAAACGGATTTTTTGAAAGTACGGGCGCTTTGTAAAAAAATGAAATACTAATGCGACTACGCGATTGTACGAGGGGCGTGGGGTACTATTACAGTATTTACGGCATGTAAATCTATAAAAAGCTAAGTGTTTTTAGGTCGATTAGGTCTTGTTGTGAAACGTGGTGCTATCGCGCCGACTCGTTACATCATTCAGTGGCGACAACGAACGTTTACAATGGGTTTTTACGATGAAACGCAATGGATTACAGCATCGGTAAGCTTTAAAAAACAAATCAATTCTATCATAATACTACATTTAGCCTTTCTATCAGCTTATAATTGAAATTTCTCTTCAAAATCGATGATTGTTAAAGATTTGAGAGTTTTTAGATTTCTGAATTGAGTAGAAGTCAACTTTTTGATCTTAGAAAGCATTTTCTTTTAAGAAAATTTCCCTGTTGAAGCTTTGCCAAAGTTTAAACACTCAAAAACATTTATGACTTCCAGATTGAACACTCGACTCTCGTTTTTATTGATGGAATGATTCTAGTCAACTTTTTGATCTTAGAAAGCATTTTCTTTTAAGAAAATTTCCCTGTTGAAGCTTTGCCAAAGTTTAAACCCTCAAAAACATTTATGACTTCCAGATTGAACACTCGACTCTCGTTTTTATTGATGGAATGATTCCTGGCGTTCAATATCGTTTCCAAGTCACCGCTGTTGGACCAACCGGAAAATTGGGCGATGTTGTGATGAGCGATTGGACGGAGGCGATTTCACTCAAAGAACAATCAAAAGCTTTAGGTAAACAAGCAAAAGCTTTAAGTAAATAATCAAAAGCTTTTAACTTTAAATGTTTCCTAAGCCTTTTACCGCTTTCTAGCTCTATTTTCAATTCAATTTCTTAATTTTTAAATCTTCTTCGAATCTGAGTTTACTAAAGTGAACGTTTGAACTACTGTAATCCCTCTAAAGCAAAGCTAAAGCAAAGCTCTAAAGCAAAGCTCTAAAGCAAAGCTCTAAAGGAAAGCTCTAAAGGAAAGCTCTAAAGCAAAGCTCTAAAGCAAAGCTTTAAAGGAAGCTTTAAAGGAAGGTTTAAAGGAAAGCTTTAAAGGAAAGCTCTAAAGGAAAGCTTTAAAAGAAAACTTTAAAGGAAAGCTCTAAAGGAAAGCTTTAAAGGAAAACTTTAAAGGAAAGCTCTAAAGGAAAGCTTTAAAGGAAAGCTTTAAAGGAAAGCTTTAAAGGAAAGCTTTAAAGGAAAGTTTTAAAGGAAAGCTTTAAAGGAAAGCTTTAAAGGAAAGCTTTAAAGGAAAGCTCTAAAGGAAAACTTTAAAGGAAAGCTTTAAAGGAAATCTCTAAAGGAAAGCTTTAAAGGAAAGCTCTAAAGCAATTGAAAGCCGCTTTCTTAAGCATAAGCTGTAACTCGTAAACTTTCAGTGCAAGCCTTATCAACGAAGAATGGATATGATACGGAGCACGGAGTGAACTCGTTGATCACCTGGACGAGAAGCGCTGATCAGAGTTGTGCTTACAAAGTCACTTACAGGTGAATACATTGAAAAATGAAGAATCTTGCTGTTTAGTGGCTAAACAAAAGCCAGTACTTAAAGATTTTATCTCGCGATTCTAGCAATTCCACTCATACAACAATGAGAGACATCGAAATGGACATTTCACTGGGAATTCTCTTGACAAATCTCGAGTTTGGTTCAGAATACGAGGTTGAGGTGGGCAAAATTTACAATAATAAGTAAATTTACCGATCTTTAGTATAGCATTGAATTCAGATCTCAACTCTTGGCTTCAAGTCCAACGATTTATCAAATCGAAAAGCCTCAACACCAATTTCTACCCATTTTACTTCATTCACTTGTGCTCAAGTGCATGGACGCGGATCGCTGCAATGTCGTACGTTATTTAAAACTTTTATTTATTGATTTAAGCTTTTATTTATTGATTTAAACTTTTATTTATTGAATACAAGGTTATTCCAAAATTACAGCAATTCGGTATTTGCTGGTAAAAGCATTTAAACCATTGATAAATTCTAAAAAAAGAATTAACTAGACTGGGAGCCTTGAGTGTTAATGCAGGCATTAAGTCGTTTTGATGCTTAGGCTTAGACTTTGGCTCGTTTAAAGGCTTAGGCTTAGTCCCGTTTTGAAGGCTTAGGCTTAGACTTTGGCTCGTTTTGAAGGCTTAGGCTTAGGATTAGGCCCGTTTTGAAGGCTTAGGCTTAGGCCTTAGGCCCTTTTTAAGCCTAGGCTTAGGCTTGGGCCCGTTTTGACGCTTAGGCTTAGGATTAGGCCCGTTTTGAAGGCTTAGGCTTAGGCTTAGGCTCTTTTTAACGCTTAGGCTTAGGCTTGGGCCCGTTTTGACGCTTAGGCTTAGGATTAGGCCCGTTTTGAAGGCTTAGGCTCTTTTGAGGCTTAGGCTTAGGCCCGTTTTGAAGGCTTAGGCTTAGGCTTAGGCTCTTTTTGACGCTTAGGCTTAGGATTAGGCCCGTTTTGAAGGCTTAGGCTTAGGCTTAGGCTCTTTTTGACGCTTAGGCTTAGGCTTGGGCCCGTTTTGAAGGCTTAGGCTTAGGCTTAGGCCCGTTTTGAAGGCTTAGGCTTAGGCCCGTTTTGAAGGCTTAGGCTTAGGCCCGTTTTGAAGGCTTAGGCTTAGTCCCGTTTTGAAGCCTTAGGCTTAGGCCCTTTTTGAAGGCTTAGGCTTAGGCTTAGGCCTTTTGAGGCGGCTCGTTTTGACGACTGAAGTCGTTTTGGGAACCTATTGACTGTGGCGATTAGGATTAGACAGCCTTGTCTCTATCTTATCCCAGGCTTTCAACAACGATTTCTTCAAGAAATTGATGCTTTTGTGCGGCTTTGTGCAAGTTTTTGCTTCCAAAACCCTCGAGATAGGGTAATCAAAGGGGATTAAGATAGGGAGATTTTGATGGCCTATAATAGTACCCCTATAATAGTAAACTTACAAGTTTGAATCACTCTATATTTTGAATCACTGATTTAAATCTCATTCTTAAGTATCAGAAGAAGATCAGAAGATGATCAGAAGAAAATAAAAATGAATAAAATAATCTAAAGTATCAGAAGTATCAGAAGTTTTCTTAAGGATTCTTAAGGATCAGAAAATGATCTAGAAAAAGCTCGAATCGAAAATCCATCAAAAATTCCAAAAATTCTAGCTCCCGAGCCAGTTGACGAGTTCAAAGTGGCCGTGCACTCAAATGGATCAATTGGAATCTCGTGGAAACCGTCGGCTGACATTGAGAACATTCTCTCGTATCGAATCGAGTACTATTCGACGGAGGAATTCGACAAATGCGACACAATGTCAAAGAGTGTTTTCTTGAAACCGGTTAGTACATAAGAAATCATGAAAATCATGGTTTTAAACATAAAAATCGGGCTTTAATCATAAAAATCATGGTTTTAATCATAAAAATCATGGTTTTAAACATAAAAATCATGGTTTTAAACAGGAAAATCGGGTTTTCGCTATTTTGCCGAAAATTGACTATCATTTTCATTTGACTATCCAATAAATTCAATGCCAATGTTGGTCTGTTTTAATACAATCAACACTGATGCAACAAATTTTCTAGACTATAGAACAAACAAATAGAGTTATAGACAATTAAAGCTTGTGAATAGCATTTTTTTTTTCTGTTCGCCAAACTTTCAAACGCTACCTGCCAACGCTACCAAACTTTCAAACTTTCAAAAAGTTTTTGTAATCTCAGTCAATTCTAGAATAGAATATTCTAGACTATAGAACAAATTGATCCCAACGTTCGCGCAAAGCCTTTTATGAATTCCGTTTTCTAATCGTGTCTTCTTGATGTGGTTTTGATTGTATTGAACCATCTTGTTGTCAATCTTCTGTTGAAATTCTTCAAGTTCTTTAATGAACGTTCACAGATCTGGATGATCCCGGTTCAAATGCTTTCTGAGACCATTGTTTGTGCCTTCTAAACAGTTATTCGTTTGTTGTTCGCTTAAACATAATTGTAACTTATTAACAGCTACGCCAAACTATTGAGCAACATTGACATTGAGTGTATTGGACAGTCAAATCAAAATTTTTGGCGAACTAGGCTTTCGGGGAACTAGGCTTTCGGTGAACTAGGCTTTCAGGGAACTAGGCTTTCAGGGAAATAGGCTTTCGGGGAAATAGGCTTTCGGGGAACTAGGCTTTCGGTGAACTAGGCTTTCGGGGAAATAGGCTTTCGGTGAACTAGGCTTTCAGGGAACTAGGCTTTCAGGGAAATAGGCTTTCGGGGAAATAGGCTTTCGGGGAACTAGGCTTTCGGTGAACTAGGCTTTCGGGGAAATAGGCTTTCGGTGAACTAGGCTTTCAGGGAACTAGGCTTTCAGGGAAATAGGCTTTCGGGGAAATAGGCTTTCGGTGGACTAGGCTTTCGGGGAACTAGGCTTTCGAGGAACTAGGCTTTCGAGGAATTAGGCTTTCGAGGAACTAGGCTTTCGAGGAATTAGGCTTTCGAGGAACTAGGCTTTCGAGGAATTAGGCTTTCGAGGAACTAGGCTTTCAGCTAACTAGGCTTTCAGCGAACTAGACTTTCAGCGAACTAAGCTTTTGACGAACTAGGCTCCATAAAAATCATAAAAATCAAGGATATGCAACTATCAATAATTAGATTAAACTCCGAGAAATAAAAGGCTTCAATAAAAAGATCTATAAAAAGACCATAAAATAGATCTGAAAGTTGCTTAAATCAAAATCAAAGCCAATAAATTACAGCCAACAACAGAAGCTCAAATCAATGTGGATCCCGGGTGTGAGTATGTCTTAAAAATGACAAATTACGATCTAATCGGACGGGAGGCGTTTATCGAGCGAATCTTTGACGTGAATGTGGAAAGATCAATGATCCCAATCAATTGGAAAACGATTTCGATCACTGTTTCAATTCTCGTGATTCTTTTTCTTTTTTGTTTACTTCGATGCACTTTATCGCCACGTTGTAAACAAAAAGTGAATGAAAAAAAGCACAAACTTGTGTCCGATTTCTCTTGAATTTTATCATTTACATAATAATATACCGTAAATACTGTAATAGTACTGCACTCCCCTCGTACAGTCGCGTAGTCGCAAAAGTTTTTTAGTATTTAGTCTAGCTTTGAACGCGTTTTTCTCGAGACTGGTTTATGCTACAATGTTTGTTTTGGTATCAAAACAAAGCCCTGAATTTCAGCTATTTTTGATACCAAAACGAACATTTTAGCATAAACCAGTGTCTAGAAGAACTCGTTCAAAGCTAGACTACGCGACTATTCGCGTTCGGAGTCTAGCTTTGAACAAGTTTTTCTCGACACTGGTTTATGCTAGAGTGTTCATTTTGGTATCAAAAAATAGCTGAAATTCAGGGCTATTTTTTGATACCAAAACGCGCCGTGTAGCATAAAATTGGGCTGAGAACGAGGCATCTAAAGTTGGTCGAGGGGGGGCGGCGTTTGTTAACTTTAGATGCCTCGTTCTCAGCCCAATTTTATGCTACACGGCGCGTTTTGGTATCAAAACAAAGCCCTGAATTTCAGCTATTTTTTGATACCAAAACGAACATTTTAGCATAAACCAGTGTCGAGAAAAACATGTTCAAAGCTAGACTACGCGACTATTCGCGTTCGGGTCCGCTTTGAACGGCTCGACACTGGTTTTGCTGGTGCTGTTTTGTATCAAAAATAGCTGAATTCGGGCTCTTTGATACCAAAACGCGCCGGTAGCATAAAGGGAGGGGCATCTAAGTTGGTCGAGGGGGGGCGGCGTTTGTTACTTTAGTGCCTCGTTCTCAGCCCAATTTTATGCTCACGGCGCGTTTTGGTATCAAAACAAAGCCCTGATTTCGCTTTTTTGATACCAAAACGAACATTTTAGCATAAACCAGTGTCGAGAAAACATGTTCAAGCTAGACTCGCGACTATTCGCGTTCGAGTCTGCTTTGAACGGGCCGACACTGGTTTATGCTACAGTGCTCGTTTAAATCCCAAAAAATAGCCCTGAATTTCAGCTATTTTTTGATACCAAAACGAACATTTTAGCATAAACCAGTGTCGAGAAAAACATGTTCAAAGCTAGACTACGCAACACTCCGCACCGTCATTATCGGGGTGGGCTACTATTACAGTATTTACGGTAATTTTTTTTGTGTGCTAAATTGTGATACGGGGTTTTAATCGTGTTTTCTTTTCGATTACGACTTTTTCCAAAGCATTGATCTTTAAATTTTGACTTGGCTACCGTAATGCGTTACTTTTACTCTTTTATACGTGACTCATGCCTCTAATCCATTTTTAAAATATAATTTCATTTATAAAGCTCATTTTTACTGTATAAAAACATAAATTAAGCTAATTAAGCTGAGTTTAAAGTAAAGATTAAGGTAAATTGCGCATTATTTTCAGCTTAAAAAAAAAGCATTTCATTTTTTTTCACTAAAAAATTGTGTTTTCACAAAAACCCCAACTTTCTAGCATACTTAATTCTTTATTTTTAAGTTTTAAAAGCATTTTACTATGCCAGAAAGTCGCGGAAAGTGTAAATTACGCAAATTTTCTTTAATCTAAGCACCTTCTCATTTTTGCCTTTCTTTCTTTACCGGTATCGATCTCAGCGATCACTTTTTTTGATTTAATATTTTATTTATAACATTTATCGATAATAAATCTTCAATATTTATTGAGAAATTTGATATTTATATAGAATAGAATCGAATAAATCTTAAATAAAGCAAGCAGAAAAAAAAAAAACCAACAAAAAATACAAAAAATACAAATAAATTTTGGTTTTTTAAAGAGTTTTAAGCTTAAATGCAATTCAAGAATGATTAAAAATTTGCTAAATTCAATCAGGCCAAGTTATTGACCAAGTTATGCACTTCAGAATCCTAGAAAGATATCAAATTTCATTTTGATTCACCTTGAAAGATTATGAACACATTGCCTGAGCCATTGGCGATGTATATGACCCTCGTCACAAATGGGGGCCCGCGCTCTTTATTTAACACCTGAATCACCACGCAAAACACTACGTTCCACGTTAACAACACCACGTACAACCGTGAAAAAACCACTGAAAATGAATGAAACAATCACTTAATAAATGGAACACGAATCACTTGCAGTGATGCGAGAAAAATCACTTGATCAAGAGCAAAATGAATCGAGGACTCAATGAAAGAAAAGACCGCACGGGGAACCTTTTGCCTTTCTGTGCAAAGTTACTTGTCAACGGTTACGTACGTCCCGGGCACGTTATAGAATTTAAAACCTTTGACGCGTGTGGGCGAGTCGGCTTGGGCCACTGGTGATCGGCGAGTGACCTCTAAAACTGATCGTCTCGTCCTTCTCGTCCTTGTACAACTAACAACCAAAACTAACAAACAAATTTATAACATTTCAGTGGAATAAGAAAACAAGACATAAGAAGTAACAACAACAGTTAAAAATTATTTCGAAAGGCGGATTTGATTCAATCAATGCCCCTGAATCGATTCCTTCTTCAATAGTTTTGATTTCTTTGCGAAAGTGGCAGTCGAATTGAGTGGGACCAACAATGCATCAATTCGTTAACGGCTAGGCTAGCCAACAATGCATCAATTTTCTTTTCAAAGCTTCTTTTAACAATTGTAATCCGGAAGGCTTGAAACAATGGATGACGTCATCATCAGCTTCATTTGAATCGATTCCAATACCACAGCTGTTGAACGACGAATTGTGCCTTCAGAGATTACATCCCAAGGGCTTGGGACTCTTCAGAGAGTCCCAAGCATTCGCTACCCATTTCAAATAATGGTTTGATTCTTCTTATCCTTCTTTTAATGTCTTTTGATCATTGAGTTTGCATTGATGTCTCCTTCTCGTTCTTGTACAACTAAAACAAACAAATTTATAACCTTTCAGTGGAATAAGAAAACAAAAAAAACATAAGAAGTAACAACAACAGTTAACAATTATGTCTAAAGCTAACAATTATGTCTAACGGTATTTAGTCTAAATTAGGGTATTCAGTCTAGAACAGAGTATTCAGTCTAAACGGCCTGGCTTACGGTATTCAGTCTAGAATAGGATATTCAGTCTAGATTAGCTAGATTAGGGTATTTAGTCTAGGTTAGGGTATTCAGTCAAGACTGTCTGGATTACGGCATTCAGTCTAGAACAGCATATTCAGTTTAGATTAGAGTATTCAGTCTAGATTAGAGTATTCAGTCTAGATTAGAGTATTCAGTCTATATTAGGGTATTCAGTCTAGATTACGGTATTCAGTCTAAACTCTCTGGATTACGCTATTCAATATAGAAAAGGATATTCACTCTAGATTAACTAGATTACGGTATTTAGTCTAAATTAGGGTATTCAGTCTAGAACAGAGTATTCAGTCTAAACGGCCTGGCTTACGGTATTCAGTCTAGAATAGGATATTCAGTCTAGATTAGCTAGATTAGGGTATTTAGTCTAGTTTAGGGTATTCAGAATAGAATTATTCTAAATCAGTGATTCCCATCTCAATGTCCCTGAATCGATTCCTTCTTCAATAGTTTTGATTTCTTCGCGAAATTGAGAGTCAAATTGAGTGGGACCAACAATGCATCTATTTCCTTTTCAACGCATCTTTTAACAATTGTAATCCGGAAGGTATCGGTCCATCGGGCTTGAAACAATGGATGACATCATCATCAGCTTCATTTGAATCGATTCCAATACCACAGCTGTTGAACGACGAACTGTGTCTTCAGAGATTAAATCCCAAGGAAACGCTACTCATTTGAAATAAAGATCCATAGAGCCTTTGGATTTCCTCCTTTTATTTCCTTCCTCCGGAGCTTCGAATGAATCAATGCATCAACATTTTCTTGACCAACAATGCATCTATTTCCTTTTCAACGCATCTTTTAACAATTGTAATCCGGAAGGTATCGGTCCATCGGCTATTTTCACAACATAGAGCTTTGTGTCTATGCCAATCGACCTTCTAACATTTCGTTTTTCCATTTCCTCGCTTGCTCATTATTCCAATACCACAGCTGTTCATTTAATTCATTTATTTCATTTATTTCCTTTATTTCCTTGAAGAAATCGGTTATTCTCATCTCAAATTCTCGCCAAGCACAGAAATTTTTCAATTCATCGATTGATTGATTTGGTTGATCGGCTTCTGATTTGTTCTGTTTCTGGCTTCTGATTTGTTCTGTTTCTGGCTTCTGATTTGGTCTATTTTTCAATTATTTTCGCTTAAAGTGCCGCTTTCTTTCCCAAAACAAAACAAATTTCAAAATTTCAGCTTTTTTGATCCTCTTTTTTGATCTCTAGATTGAATTCTTCCAAAAATCGATCATTTTTTCCAATCTAATCAGTTCTTTTTAAGGGAAAAATCAGTAAAATCATCTTTTTTTTTTGCTTTTCTTTGGGAGTCCCATTTGAAAAAAGGAAAAAAAGATAAGATTTAGACTCACGTCTGGAAGCTTCTTTTAAAGACGCTTCTTTTAAAGAAATTCGACTGATTTCTGTTTTTATTTTATTTAAAAGTATTGTAGATTTTGTAGATTTTGTAGATTTTGTAGATTTTGTAGATTTCTTTTCTTTTCAGTGATGAATAACAAATCAACGGAAAAACTTTGGGTACCGGATGAGGATTTTGTCGAATATCAGAATGATTTGAGGAAAAAGAGGTAAACTAAATAAAAGCTTTGGGGATTTGTGATCGAAACTCTGAACTTTAACCATTCAGCTATGTTGGTAGCGAAATTTATGTAGAGTTTTTGTAGAGTTTTTGTAGAGTTTATGTAGAGTTTATGTCAAATTTATGTCAAATCTTCGCTTTTTCATTTAAGCTTTAATTCAAAATGCAATTCACAAGCTTTAATTGTCTATAACTTTGCTCGGAGATCATATTATTAACTTTTTATATGTCGTAGCCGTTTACGAAATTCAAGCCGTTAACGAACGATTCGTTAACGGCTTGCCGATTACGAATGATTTTTTGCTGTACAATTTGTAATCGGCTTCTGCGTAAATGGCTCGATTCAAATGAGTTTTTGATTTCAAACTATTTACACAAAACGCAAATCAGCAAACTAATCACAACAAGTGAAATAAAATGATAACATTTAACTTTTATAACATAATAACGTTTATAACAAACAAAACATCAACTAAAACGCATGCGGAACCGATTGAAGATCAATTAAGTCGACTTGGCAGCGTTCATTTGCTTCGTTTGCTTTGCTTTGCTTTGCTCCTTCGTTCTGATCGGCTTCACAACAACTCCTTTTTTGGCGTCTCCTTCTTTAATTCACATTCCGGGCACTTTGATAAAAATCTCGAGTATTTCCTTTGAGATCCCGTGATAATCTCCTCGCAGTTCTTTCTAAAATAAGATCCTGGCAGCTAGCGTTGCCAGCTGATGCTGGCAGCTAGCGTTGCCAGCTAGTGTTGCCAGCTAGTGTTGCCAGCTAGTGTTGCCAGCTAGTGTTGCCAGCTAGTGTTGCCAGCTGACGCTGACAGCTAGCGTTGGCAGCTAGCGTTGGCAGCTAGCGTTGGCAGCTCCCGAAGAGGAGTCTAATGAGAAACCTTCCGGCCAACGCAAAGTGGCACCATTCAAGCATTCGATGAGACCAAAGAAGAAAAACTTAACTCAAAACCAATAGCCCAATGTTTTTCAATGAATTATTGATGTTGAAGTGTAAAATTAAGTAAAAAAAACTGATCTAAGCTGGTAAAACTTTGACTTTACAAAATCAAACTTTTCAGTTCATTCCGATCAAACTTTTCAGTTGATTTCAGTTGATTTCCTTATCTCTAAACTTTCAGAGCCTCTCGAATATTCAAATACATCTTGGTGACATTGTTGGCCATCGGCGCGCTCTATTTTCTTCTCTTTGTGTAAGTTTTTTTGTTAATAATTCGGAGAATTTGGTTTTAAATTGGTTTTAAATTGATTTTAAATGATTTAAAATGATTTAAATTGATTTAAAATGATTTAAATTGATTTTAAATGATTTTAAATTGATTTTAAATGATTTTAAATTGATTTAAATTGATTTTAAATGATTTTAAATTGATTTTAAATGATTTTAAATGATTTTAAATGATTTTAAATGATTTTAAATTGATTTTAAATGGTTTTAAATGATTTTAAATTGATTTTAAATGATTTTAAATTGATTTAAATTGATTTAAATTGATTTAAATTCATTTAAAATGATTTAAATTGATTTAAAATGATTTAAAATGATTTAAAATGATTTAAAATGATTTAAATTGATTTTAAATGATTTAAAATTGATTTAAAATTGATTTAAATTGATTTTAAATGATTTTAAATGATTTTAAATTGATTTAAATTGGTTTTAAATTGATCTAAATTGATTTTAAATTGATTTTAAATGATTTAAAATGATTTAAATTGATTTAAAATGATTTTAAATTGATTTTAAATGATTTAAAATTGATTTAAATTGATTTAAAATTGATTTAAATTGATTTAAATTGATTTAAATTGATTTAAATTGATTTTCAAATGATTTAAATCGATTTAAAATGATTTTATATGATTTTCAATTGATTTTAAATTGATTTAAATTGATTTAAATTGATTTTCAATTAATTTTCAATTGATTTAAATTGATTTTAAATTGATTTTAAATTGATTTTAAAATGGTTTTAAATTGATTTAAATTGGTTTTAAATTGATCTAAATTGATTTAAATTGATTTAAAATTGATTTTCAATTATTTTTGTTAAAAAGAAACCCATTTTTTCGATTTTTGAAACAGAAAACAAACAGAAATCAATTGCGCGGAAAATTTTTTGGCAATTTTGATGGAATTCTCATTGAAAGTTTTGGAATTGAGAATTTTCTAGGGAATCTAAAGGGATCAGAATTGATGAGACTATGGAAAATTATGGAAAAGATCGAAATTGAGCGTCGGAACCACAAAATTGAACATTTTCTAGCCTAAAAATACTTGATAAAGTTAATTTTGAAGGTTTTAAGTTATTGAAATTCCAAGAAAACATTATAAAAGTGGTCTTTTAAAGAAGACAAGAGCTTCAATGAGAAAAATGGTTGTAGAGTTTTCAAAAACATTAAAAATCTATATAAATTTACAATCTGGGAAGGGATTCAACAAAATTTGAAGCTTAAAATCAGCATCTTCATTGCAAATTTTCAAAATTTTCAGCGATCGAGCAAATCTCTCGAAATCTTTTGGAGAACAGAGTGGAAATGAAAAAAATGAAATGGATCAGAACGAATTCGAATCACTTTATGAAGAGTACTCGGATCAGTTTAAGGATTATATGAAAAGGTGAGGGGAGAAGTGAAGGATTTCGTTCGCTAGAAGAGATGCGTTTGCAGAATGAGCTTTGTCCTTTGTGCTGGATTCCTTTTAGCGTATTGAATTCTTCATTTTGATACGATTAACGAATCAAATGCACTAGGAGGGATTGTTTTTTCGATTCTGGAGTAGAAAATACTAGAAAGCTCAGGCTCAGTTGAATCAAAGTGACTAAATGTTCGGGAATTAAGCGGGAATTAAGCCGGGTTTCCGAAAATCGAATTTGCTAGAAAAGATGTATTTACAAGAGCACAAAGTACACCCAAAAATGTATCCATTAGATAGTGTGCGTTCCAGGATGTAACTTTACTTAAGGGATATAGCTAGATTCAACGAGTGTACACGAGTTTCTGGGCCCCTCTCGAAATTGGGTAACTGAATCAAGGAAAATGAGGGAAAGTGTCCCTAAAAACGTATCCGCTAGATAGTGTGCGTTCCAGGATGTAACTTTGCTTAAGGGATATAGCTAGATTCAACGAATGTACGCGAGTTTCTGGGCTCCTCTCGAAATTGGGTAACTGAATCAAGGAAAATGAGGGAAAGTGTCCCTAAAAACGTATCCGCTAGATAGTGTGCGTTCCAGGATGTAACTTTACTTAAGGGATATAGCTAGATTCAACGAGTGTACACGAGTTTCTGGGCCCCTCTCGAAATTGGGTAACTGAATCAAGGAAAATGGGGAAAGTGTCCCTAAAAACGTATCCGCTAGATAGTGTGCGTTCCAGAATGTAACTTTGCTTAAGGGATATAGCTAGATTCAACGAGTGTACGCGAGTTTCTGGGCCCTCTCGAAATTGGGTAACTGAATCAAGGAAAATGAGGAAAAGTACACATAAAAACATTTCCATTAGATAGTGTGCCTTCCAGGATGCAGAGTCAGAATGAGGATTACGGCTAGAGTCAGGATTTCAGATACAATCGAGAGTACGAGTCCGGCGAAGAGACCCTCGATCGCTTCAAGAACTACATGAAAAACTTGAAAGAGGCCGAGAAAATGACGGAAGAGGTAAAATTTTAATAAAGGGAATTGAGAAAGGAATTCATTCTAGAAGAAATATGGCGGAGAATTTGGCGAGAATGAGATGAGCGATTGGACGGATGAAGAGTTCAGAAAGGTGAGCTTTTTCTCTGTTTTTCTGGATCTGGAAATGATCGAAATCTGAGCAGCTTTACAATATAAACCCACTTTATGAGAGTTCATTCGAAAGCTTCAAATGTTAGCTAGTTGACAAACCAGAAATCACAGCTCTCAAGGATTTGTGTGTTGAAATATTTGGTCGCGACTCTCGACTGTCTAGAAAAGATCGATTTTCGTTGATAAAGGGCTGAAAATGAACACAGACGTGTATCTGGACGTTCTCACAAAACATGTACAGTCGTGGAGTCAAGGACATTATCAAAATCAGCGCTGAACGTTGATGCAAGACGGCGCCCCAGCGCACAAAGCAAAAAAAGACTCAAGAGTGGTGTCGAAACAATTTGTCCGACTTCATTCCCGCCAATGAATGGCCAGCTAATTCGCCCGACCTCAATGTTATGGACTTCTGTGTTTGGACAATTTTGGAGCAAAAAGCATGTACAACAAAAAATACAAACGTTTAAAGTCTGAAAAAGGCTCTGAAGAAAGCCTGGACGAAAATTCCACAAAGTACCAGGCCGCCGTGGGCCGGGACGCCGTGGGCCGGGACGCCGTGGGCCAGGCCGCCGCGGGCCGGGACGCCGTGGGCCGGGACGCCGTGGGCCGGGACGCCGTGGGAAAGTTATCCAAAGCGTCTTAAAGCCGTTATCAAGAATAAAGGTGCCCATATTGAATAGCTTTTTCTGAAATCTGAAATCCGGTAGCTTTTTCTCGTGCTAGCCGAGACCATTTCAGCTTGTGTTTCAAAATTCTTTTAGATCCTGTTACCGGTGAATTTCTACAAAAGAATGCGCTCTGAAAGCTCATTTATTCGCTCGAATCCACCAAAGTTAGAGACTGGTCCAAGTTTACCCGATTCCTTCGATTGGAGACAGAAAAATGGTGTCAGTCCGGTAAAAGCTCAAGGTAACACTTACTGGAATACACAGCTTTAGATATCTAATTAGATAATCCAGTATCTAATTTATAAATCCAGGGAAATGTGGCTCGTGTTGGGCTTTCGCTGCAACAGCCACTGTTGAATCGGCGTGGTTGGTGAAAGATGGAAAGTTGAGAAATCTCTCTGAGCAGACACTTCTTGATTGTGATTTGAGTAATAATGCGTGTGATGGAGGAGATGAGGATAAAGCGTTCAGGTGGGATAAAAATCAAGCTGGATCAAGCTTGGAAAAGAAAATCAAGCAGGATCGAGCTTGACTAACTGGTTTTTTGACAGAGTAATAAGTCTAAAATCAAGCTCCTAAAAATTAAAGCCAAATCAAATCTGATAAATACAAATTTTTCTATGACATCCAACTAAGAAAAGCCCAAAATTTCCAAAATTTCTCTACTCAAAAAAAAAGTTAACAAGGTGAACAGGTTTTTGAAGGTAAAACTCTTTTAAAAACACTTTTCAGACTATTTCTTTTAACCAAAAAGGTTGGATTTGACTAGCTTAAGTAAAATAGTAAGTTTCCCGTAGATATAGATCTAGGGAAAGCGTTAGACTTTGGTTTGAAAGATCAGATCTAGATCCAAAAATTCGAATTCAGATTTATCCACCGCCAAGGTTTGGCTTTTTCCGTTGATCTTCCCTATGTAGCGCACCGTCAAAATAAATGTGAGCTCGCCAAGATGACAGCAACGAAAATTGATGTAAGATCGTAGAAATGAACTGATAAAAGGCGCTTTTATTCGGCTAAAAATAATTGTAAGCTAGTTTTGACGGTCAGCTTTTGGTCTGGATCAAAATTCGATCAAAATTCATTTCAATCTACTAGAGAAAACTAGCTATAAACTCGAGTTTTAAAGCCTTGTAAAGAAATATTATTCGCGTGCTTGGTACTCTTCACTCAAGACACTTTATTTCTTGTTTCGAGATATCTGATCTCACTTGAACTAAAAACACTTTATTCTGACTGACTCAGAATCTTTGATCTCTCACTTGAGGTTTTTGGCCCTTTATTTTTATGTTTAATATACCAAAAGATAGAAGACATTAAGGGCTATCTTTTGGTATATTAAACATAAAAATCTCTCTAAATAGGGCTGAGAACGAGGCGTTTAAACTTGGTCGAGGGGTCGAAGTCGAGATCGAGTTGGTCGACCAACTTTAGACGCTCCGTTCTCAGCCCGATTTTATGATATTCTTTTGTTTAATATACCAAAAGATAGAAGACATTAAGGGCTATCTTTTGGTATATTAAACATAAAAATCTCTCTAAATAGGGCTGAGAACGAGGCGTTTAAACTTGGTCGAGGGGTCGAAGTCGAGGTCGAGTTGGTCGACCAACTTTAGACGCCCCGTGCAATTTAATTGAATTAAAAGCGACGATAAAAAACAGAAACAATTTCGTCCTAATGCCTTATATAGGCTTTGACACAAGATATTCAGCTAACAAGCTACGTAGCTAACAAGCTACAAAACAATAAATGATTTGGGGCGCGAAATAGAATGAAGGCGCACCGATTTCCTCAATATTTTTCCAATTTTTAGGCTGCCAGAGTTAAGTAACTTTTTACAGCCAGCCACAGCCTAAAACTCTAAAAATAGATTTCCTGCAGGTTGCTTACTACTTGCATCAAGATGAATTCGCGATGCGACAATGGATTGTCAACTATGGACCAGTCAACGTTGGTGGGTTTTACGAAAAGAATTTGGTGCTAATGGAAACCCGCTTTTTCTGGCGCCAAGTGCTTAAATGATGATCCCAGGCATGTCCGTCACTCAACCGATGCGCTCGTACAAATGCAACACTACTGAGTGCGCCGTTTTCACGCCAGATGCCGATGATTGCAAGAATAAGGTAAAAAGTTAAGTCGATGATTGCAAGAATCTAGCAAAATATAGCAATTTTGATTTAAAAGTATAGCATGACATCCAGTTTGAATAAAAAACATTAAAAAACAATAAGGTTTCTTAGAAAGAGTCGATGATTGTCAGAGTAAGGTAAAATGCTCGGCTGATGATTGCAAGAATCTAGCAAAATACATCAATTTTAGCTTAAAATTATGGAATGACATCCAGTTTGAATAAAAAACATCAAGAAGCGCCAGATTTCTTAGAAGAAAGCCATATATTTATCGGTGAACTCATTCAGGTGATCGGTTTGCACGCTTTGTTGGCTGTCGGTTATGGAACCGATAAAAACACGAAGGAGGACTATTGGATTATCAAGAATTCGTGGGGAGCCGATTGGGGAGATCACGGATTTATCAAATTCAGGCGGTGAGTGTGAATCGAGACTTCAATTTTGTTGTTTTCTTGCTTTTTTGAGGCAAAAAATCCAATAATCTTTAAAATCAATAATTCTCGAAAAAAAGTCTTTTCGAAAGCACCTGTGCTATCCAGATTCAAAGAAAACTTCTTTAAAAGCCTTGATTTTTCAGCGGAATCAACGCTTGCGGTATCGAAGAGGAGCCAGTTGGGATTATGGCTTGATTTCCTTGTTTAATTCGTTGCTAGAATAGAAACGAGAAAGTTTAAAATGGAAAATTTCAATTAAATTTCCTTATCAAAGCACAAATATATACAAATAAAGAAAGAATTTTTTGAAAAGAAATATTTTTTGCGCCAAAAATGAGCCAAAAAGAAGCTTTAAAAGCTTCTCTCACAACAAAAAGTTTAGCAACGCTTGTTTACATCCGAACAACCTAGTAAAACGCTTTATCGATTACATAGTTTCCCAAAATCTCAGAACAATTCAATCGATCTAACCGTTCTATCGAAGATTCGGTGTCTTCTCCCGTCCCAAATTGAACCCAAATTGGGCTTCCGAACTTAAACGGTTCCAATACGGGTCCAATACGGTTCCAATACGATTCCAATACGATTCTAATACGGTTCCAATAAGGTTCCAATACGATTCCAATACGGTTCCAATACGGTTCCTATTTTGATCTAATACGGTTCCAATACGGTTCCAATATGGTTCCGATACGGTTCTAATATGGTTCTAATACGGTTCCAATACGTTTCCAATACGGTTCTAATCTGGTTCCAATACGATTCCAATACGGTTCCAATACGGTTCTAATAGGGTTCCAATATGGTTCCAATACGGTTCCAATACGGTTCCAATACGGTTCCAATACGGTTTCAAGACGATCCCAATACGATTCCAATATGGTTCTAATACGGTTCCAATACGTTTCCAATACGGTTCTAATCTGGTTCCAATACGATTCCAATACGGTTCCAATACGGTTCTAATAGGGTTCCAATACGTTTCCAATACGATTCCAATACGTTTCCAATACGGTTCCAATACGATTCCAATACGGTTCCAATACGGTTCCAATACGATTCCAATATGGTTCCAATACGATTCCAATACGGTTCCAATACGATTCCAATATGGTTCCAATACGATTCCAATACGGTTCCAATACGGTTCTAATACGGTTCCAATATTAGATATTTATTACGAATCTAGCACAATACTAATCTAGCGAGAAAATACAAAAGAATAGAATCAATCGTTGGTTAAGGAGCCAGTTGGGATTATGGATTGATTTCATTGTTTAATTCTTTAGTGTAGAATAGAACTAACCATAAACGTCGATAAACGCCGCTTGTGGTATCGAAGAGAAGCCAGTTGGGATTATGGATTGATTTCATTGTTTGTTTGTTTAATTCCTTGCTAGAATGGAAACGAGAAAGTTTAAAATGGAAAATTTCAATTAAATTTCTTTATCAAAGCACAAATATATACAAATAAAGAAAGAATTTTTTGAAAAGAAATATTTTTTGAGCCAAAAATGACAAAAAGCAATGACAAAAAGGAAGAAAAAATCAAAAAATAACGAAAATTACTGAAATTGCACTTAAAGCTTCGAAAAAATTGAAAATGAATTCAGATTACGGTAAAAAAGGTCACTTTTTATCAAAAGAGACATTATTTTCACGGTAAATCTCTCGAACTGGTTGAAAATTTGTGAAATTTGGTGAAGTCGAGTTTTCTGGAGAAGAAATGCCGGCGTTTAGCGCTGTCGAATTTAAAGCCGATTGCCATTCGTCGAAAGAACGACGATTTCCGGAGAATGGCCGATCCTCAATCACAGAGATTCCGATTAATTGGGGTTTTGGCTGAAAAATGAGACGATTTTGATGATAGTTTTTTAGTTAGAATACCGGAATTTCGGAAATACCGGAATTTCGGAATTTCAATTTCTCTTTTATTGGATTGGTGAATTGAAAACTGTGGGCTATTTTGCGGGACTCGCAGACAAAAAAACAACAGCATTGAACCAGCTGAAAGGGGATTTGGTTACTTCAACATTTCCTCTAATTATTGCGAAATAATCGATTAGATTAAACTGTGTTGTTTCTGATTTGAAGATCAATTTTGTGGACTACTCTAGGAGGAGAGCTTCTAACAAATCCGCCGTATTCTCCCCATTTGGCTCTCTCAGATTAGCATCTATTCTGGATTATCATTTATTCCAGTCATTGCCAAGCCTTTTAGCTAATGAGAAATTCAAAAGCTGTGAAGATAATCAAAAATTGGATTGCCAAGTTTTTCGAGTCACAGTCGGCTAAGTCACAGTCGCTTTTTTCAAAAACCGCATCAATTCTTTGCGCAAAAGATGGCAAGAAGCAATCAATAATAATGGAGATTCAATCTATAGATTAAACTTTGTTATTTCTTTTTTTTAAGATCAATTTTGTCGACTACTAAAACGCTGGTTTATAACCGACAAAAAACCTAATCGTTTATCATAGTCAAAGTTCGGTAAAAACAATAAGCTTTCTTAGAAAAAGTCGATGATTGTCAGAGTAAGGTCAAACGTTCGGCTGATGATTGCAAGAATCCAGCAAAATACAGCAATTTTAGCTTAAAAGTATAGAATGACATCCAGTTTGGATAGAAAGAATCAAAAAACAATAAGGTTTCCTAGGAAAAGCTGATGATTGTCAGAGTAAGGTCAAACGTTCGGCTGATGATTGCAAGAATCCAGCAAAATACAGCAATTTTAGCTTAAAAGTATAGAATGACATCCAGTTTGGATAAAAAGAATCAAAAAACAATAAGCTTTCTTAGAAAAAGTCGATGATTGTCAGAGTAAGGTCAAACGCTCGGCTGATGATTGCAAGAATCCAGCGAAATACAGCAATTTTAGCTTAAAAGTATAGAATGACATCCAGTTTGGATAAAAAACATTTCCTATGGTTTGCCAAGTTTCGATCTGGGGACAAATCTTTGAAAGATGCAGAGGGCCGCACCCCAACTAAATGATTCCAAATTACTCGAACTCATTACCAACGACCATCGGGTATCATCGCGCGAATTGGGAGAAGAGTTAGGGGTTGATCATGCTACAGTGCTAAGGCATCCCCATAACCTTGGATTTAAATCGAAACTTGGAGCTTGGGTGCCCCAAGTTGACCCATGGGTGCCCCATGACCCCCAGAGCTGGCAGCACGCCTCCATCAGTGCCGTCCATCTCTCACAATACAAAAGGAAATCATCTCCTATCACAAGCTTGATTAACGGGGTTTCTTTTGGTGAAAAGTTGGTATTAGGTTGTTGTGAATTTTGATCGAAACTTTTTAAATGACTTAATTTTGAAGTAAAGAATGAAAGCTACCTGTTCCTCTAAACTCTCTTTACTCATATGTGTACTCGCTGTCTCTTCACTGTCAAATGAGCCTTGATCCTCGGATTTTTGTTGACTTCTTTCCGTCTAAACACTTAATAACTCAAATGTCGACGTTTTTTAAACAAACTCGATAATACTCTGTTTGATAATATTCAAGAGTTGGTCGAGTTTGATGCGATCGAGTCTGTTTCATTGGGAGGATTGATTCGATTTGGGAAAAATCGAGATATTCCTAAAAAGAACCGGAAAAATCTTATAGTAAAAATGGTAAAATAATAAGAAAACTAAAAATTCTCTTCAAAAAAAAATTCTTTTTATACCTTATGTGCAACTCTTGGACTGTCCTCATAACCGTAGAAAGATTTCTGGAAAGCTTGCGGTCGTTTCCGTTCAAACATCGACACTAAAAAAGCTTTGGAGAATTATAGTACAGTGTAGTTTTGTAAAATTCTTTAAGTAATCGAAAAATCATTTAGATTTCGATTTCTTTTTGCTTAAAATTCCAGATTTCTCTTTAATTTAGGAAATTTGAAACGCGTTTTGCCATAAAAAGAAACGAGGGATATTCTTTGAGCAAATATTTGTCTTTTATCGCGCTGTTCATTTCCTCTTTTCTTTCTTTCTTTCTTTCTTCCTCTCTCTTTCTTCCTCTCTCTTTCTTCCTCTCTCTTTCTTCCTCTCTCTTTCTTCCTCTCTCTTTCTTTCTTTCTTTCCGATTCCGCTTTGATTTCTTCTCTGCCAATTCGGAAGTGAAAAAAGAAAAGCGGAAAAGATTTGATTGTTTTTAAGCAATAAATCCTTTCGCTTCAGGAGCTGGGCTTTGAGAGAAGCACTGATTTTAAGTTCAATTCCCCAAACAATTGGATATTAGGCAAGCTTCGCTTTGATTAACTCGAGAAACTCGTTCAATCGAGCTCATTTAACTGTGCAAATTGATTGTTTAACTCAGTCAGATAAGTGATCAGAGCTTGGAAAGGATTACTCAATTTCTAAGCTCAATTTCTAGATCTATTACTCAATTTCTAAACCCACATTTCCTTAGCGTATCCCCGCCAAAACTCCCGCTGTTCTTCTTGTCAATCGAGTTGTGCGAGATGGCGTAGATCGGAGAAGAGATCCGGGGATAAACTCCTAAATCAAATATCGGTTTTCACTTTAGATTTGACTTGAAATTAGCTTTAATATTCTAATAGCTTCAAAGCTAGAAGCTTTAACAGATTCAAAATCCTTGGAACCGTGTTGGATCAAAATAGGAACCTTATTGGATCAAAATAGGAAGCCTATTGGAACCGTATTGAACCCTATCAGCTTCAAAGCTAGAAAGTTAGCTTTCAAGCCAATTACAAGCCACTTACTTGATTCGTTTTCAAAGGAAAAATCGGGAATTTGATCTTAATTTGAAATAACACTCGTAAATTGTAAATTCTTGTTTTCAATAGTTCAAGAAGAGAAAAATGAGAAAAGTTTATTAAAGAGCTAAGCTTTTAAAAGCTTTTAAAGGATTTCTAAAGCTTTTAAAAGCATTTCTAAAGATTTAAAAGCATTTCTAAAGCTTTTAAAGGCATTTCTAAAGATCTAAAATCATTTCTAAAGCTTTTAAAGGCATTTCTAAAGCATTTAAAAGCATTTTCAAAGATTTAAAAGCATTTCTAAAGCTTTTAAAAGCATTTCTAAAGCTTTTAAAAACAATTCTCTTAATTAATTTTCTAAAAAATGTCTTTCTCTTTCTCTATTTGTCAATAAAAAGCCGTAATCAATCGATTTGATACTAATTTTTTTTAAACTCACTACTCGTCGCTCTTTCCGGCTTTTTTCTCTTCATCGGCGCTCGATTTTTGAATAAACAAATGCAGAGAGCGATTATCAGACAAATAAAGAAAATCCCGACCACTGCGGTCACAACAACAACCACATATTCTTGCATTGGCGACGAATTTCAGTGATTCGATTATCACCGAGACATTTGGCTATTGAAAAGATTGATTAATTGAAGTGAAAACGTTATTGACGTTATCGAAGATCACTTCAATTCTCAATTCAGTCGATTTCTCTGAAATTCAGTTTATTAGAGGACATTTGAATAGAGAAGATGAGAAATTTGAAGAAAATGAAGACGACTAAAGATCTAGAGCTTTAAAATCAGACTCCTCAAGGTCTAGAGCTTTAAAATCCGACTCCTCAAGGTCTAGAGCTTTAAAATCAGACTCCTCAACATCTAGAGCTTTAAAATCAGACTCCTCAAGGTCTAGAGCTTCAAAATCAGACTCCTCAAGGTCTAGAGCTTTAAAATCAGACTCCTCAACATCTAGAGCTTCAAAATCAGACTTCTCAAGATCTAGAGCTTCAAAATCAGACTCCTCAACATCTAGAGCTTCAAAATCAGACTTCTCAAGATCTAGAGCTTTAAAATCAGACTCCTCAAGGTCTAGAGCTTCAAAATCAGACTCCTCAAGGTCTAGAGCTTCAAAATCAGACTCCTCAAGGTCTAGAGCTTTAAAATCAGACTCCTCAACATCTAGAGCTTCAAAATCAGACTTCTCAAGATCTAGAGCTTCAAAAATGAAGACTACTCAATTCCAGTTCACGTTCAGCTTTGAAAAGTGCGTAAATAAATCAGAGTAACATTCTGCAAGAAAACCCAGGCCTCAATTCGCAAGGAAGAGTTTGTTTGCAATGTTTGCAAAGAAAATTGGTTGATTGAAAGTTTGAAAACTGAAAAAGTCTTGTATTTGGTGATCAAATTTGTTTGTTTTTTTAAAAAATTTTGCATCATAATGGTCTTTAGCTTCTCTAGAAGGACATTAGTCATTAGAACGGAATCTAAACTCATTAAAAAGATTTTCAAGGAAAATCAAGGAAAACTTGGGTAATTCAACTATTACACTTAAATAGATCCGTTAGTATGAGTAGAATAAGGCGACCAATGGTGTATATAAGGCGATAAATGGTATATAAAGCGGCCAATTCGGATATAAGGCGACCCATTCGTATATAAGACCGCCAACTCGTATATAAGGCGACCAATGGCGGACATAAGACGGCCGATTCGTATATAAAGCGGCCAATTCGGATATAAGGCGACCCATTCGTATATAAGACCGCCAACTCGTATATAAGGCGACCAATGGCGGACATAAGACGGCCGATTCGTATATAAGGCGACCAATTCGTATGCAAGGCGGCCAACTCGTATATAAGGCGACCCATTCGTATATAAGACCGCCAACTCGTATATAAGGCGACCAAGTCGTTTATAGGGCGACCAAGTCGTTTATAGGGCGACTATTTCGTATATAAGACCGCCAATTCGTACATAAGGAGACTAATGGCGGACATAAGACGGCCGATTCGTATATAAAGCGGCCAATTCGGAAAAGAGGCGACCCATTCGTATATAAGACCGCCAACTCGTATATAAGGCGACCAAGTCGTTTATAGGGCGACTATTTCGTATATAAGACCGCCAATTCGTGCATAAGGAGACTAATGGCGTATGTAAGGTGACCACTGGCATATAAGACGGCCGATTCGTATATAAGACGGTCAATTCGTATGTGAGGCGACGAATGGTATACAGGCGGACCAATTCGAATATAAGACCGCCAATTGTATATAAGGCGACCAATTCGTAAGTAAGGCGGCTGATTCGGATATAAGGTGACCAATTCGTATGTGAGGCGACCAATGGCGTATATAAGGCGACCAATGGTATATAAGGCAACAGATCTTTATGGCATTAAGAAGAAAAATCCCAGAATTTGATAGAACAATGTTCCGAGTTCAGAACAACAACAAAAGTTGAGAGTTTTTCTAAAATCTAGAGTTTCAAAGGCAAATTCAGCCATTAAAACTAAATTTAAACTCGCTGAAAAAAAATTTAAAGGGAAAATAAAGGAAAATGAAGGAAAATGAAAGAAAATTAAGGAAAATTAGGGTAATTAAACCGGGTATTACGGTTAAATTGATACAATAGTTTGAGTCGAATTGTTTGAGTCGAATTGTTTGAGTCGAATTGTTATCTCGTAGAAATTTCAATTAAATTTAGCTCAGCTACGACAGAAAAAGCGTGAATTTCCTAGGGAATCGTGAAAAGAAACGATTTAGAACACACACACGCACACACACACACTGAATTTGAACGCAAACAAATTCTCTTTGAGCTGAAATGCGAAATTCTCACACCTGTTCTATAAAATAATGAAAAGACGAAATTCGGAGAGTAAATTTGGCGAAGAATTAGTGAAAAAATGAGTGAAAAAATGAATTCTGAATTGAAATTTGAATTAATTTTGAGAGAAAAACAATTTAAGAATCATTTTTGAACAAAAAGAGAAAAGAAAATGGAAAGAATTGAAATATTGGACTAGTTTGTTTATTACAAACACTGAATTTGAAGGTGCCGAGCGATGCCGAGCGATGCTGAGCGATGCCGAGCGGTGCTGAGCGATGCCGAGCGGTGCTGAACGATGCCGAGCGATGCTGAGCGATGCCGAGCGATGCTGAGCGATGCTGAGCGATGCTGAGCGATGCCAAGCCTGGTTCCAATGCTCGGAATGGTGATGAAAGTCTATAGAATCATGAACACTCTCGTCGACAAGCGGTAGACAATATTTTGAAAGCTGCAATCGAATCAGATTCATGTCAAACATCCCGTGAACTTCCTCAACAGTTTATATGTTCAAATTCTACTATTGAGCATCTCCACGCCATTAGAAAGACGATTTGATGGGGAAATGGCTTCCTCACGAGTTAAGCAGTGCAAATAAGGCTATTGCCGGAATCCTCATCCGCCACGATCATGGCTTTTTTTGATTCTCTTGTTACTGAAGACGAGAAGTGAATCTATTTCGATAATATTATTCGAAAACGGCAATGGTTAAGACCAGGAGAACGGCCAAATTCGATCGTTAAACGGGACATTCATGGGAAAAAGCTCATGCTCTCAGTATGGTGGAGTAGCAAGGTCCTTGTGTATTTCGAGCTTCTACAAACCGGCCAAAGAGTCACACTAGACCTCTACAAACAGCAAATTGATCAGGTCAATGAAGCTCTCATTGAGTCCCATCCAGATTTGGTCAAAGCATTGGGAATGAGAAAGAAGAGGAAGAAGAGGAGGAAGAAGAGGAAGAAGAGAAAGAAGAGGAAGAGAAAGTAGAGGAAGAGAAGGAAGAGGAAGAGGAAGAGAAAGAAATTAAGGGATCAGAAATCGTTAAGTTCATTAGTATTTGAAAAGATGTTAGGGATCAGAAAGCTGACTCATTAGAGTCAAATTCTCTCTGTCAAACGGGACAGAGAGACGTGGAGATTCCGGGAAGAAGACCGGATTCTTTTCTACAATTTCTCACAACCTTTCCCGCACGTCAATGACGAGCCAAACCCCCTGCCGTTTGTGGTTTTGAGGAAATTATTGATCTTAGCTTTCAAGAAGTTCAATCCTGAGGATCTAAGTGATCAGAAGATTAGATCCTGGTGATCTAAGTGATCAAAAAGTCTAGCTGAAACTGGCTGACCTGGGATTGAAGCCAAGTTCCAGTAAGCCAGGCCAGCTCTTGACAGTTTAACAATAAGCCAGATCAGATCTTGACTATTGAAAGTCAAAAACAGACTTAGAATTGGCTTCTAGCTGATTTGGAAACTATTTTAGTCAAGAAAAGTCGAGAAATCAAAGCTCTAAACAAGTTAGAGATCGAGGAATCGTTCAACTGATTAAAGAATCACAAAGAGAAATAAAGAAGATGATAATTGAAACGGAATTCAAGAGGAATTCAAAATGAGATTCAAACCAAAGAGTCTAGCAAGCGCAGCAGCCACTTCTCTATTCCATTTTCCATTTCTCACCTTCTTTTCTCACCGCCGATCAACGAGAAGCGGAAAGAAGCCGTCGGATTCGACGCAAATCCTTTCTTTTCCCTTCTTCCCACACTCCATTTCCTCCACAACACCGTTTTTTTTTGTCTCGGCTTTCGAAAGAAGACACTCGATCAGGAAATTCGATCAGTTCTCGGGAAAATGAAAAGAAAAAAGATTTAGATGATTTAGAACTCAGATGAAAAGAATTGAAGCAGCGAAAGGAATTGAAGCAGCGAAAGGAATTCAAACAGGAATTGAAGCAGCAATTTCAGAGCAGAATATTGGTAAGATAAAACAGATAAAAAGTCAAGAGTCTGTTTGTGATTGGCTAGTCCAGCTAAGTCTTGGCTAGTCCAGCTGTCTTGGCTAGTCCAGCTAAGTCTTGGCTAGTCCAGCTAAGCCTTGGCTAGTCCAGCTAAGTCTTGGCTAGTCCAGCTAAGCCTTGGCTAGTCCAGCTAAGTCTTGGCTAGTCCAGCTGTCTTGGCTAGTCCAGCTAAGTCCTAGCTTGGACTAATGGCTTGTTTCCGGGTTACTTACTTATTATCCTTGTCTGGTTTGGGTAAAGCTTGGCTTAGATTTGGCCAAGCTGGACTGGTTAGTGGGGACTGGTTAGTGTCTTGATCAAGCCTGACTAACCTCACTTAATCTGACTTGTTGACAAGACAACTTACAGATTTAAACAACTTATTTATTATCCTTGTCTGGTTTGGGTAAAGCTTAGCTCAATTTGGGTAATTGCTTAGCTCTGACCAAGCTAGAAGGGGACTGGTTAGTGCCTTGATCAAGCCTGACTAACCACCGCTAGTCTGACTTGTTGCCAAGAAAACAAGAAAGGTTGCGTTTCTCCGATGAACTCAAGCAAAGGTGTACTTTGTGATCGTTTAAAATCGAAACCCACTCTTTCTGGCAAATAAAAATCGATTTAGAAGCTTGATTTAGTCGCCTAGCTTTTGAATAAATCAAATTATTCTGTTTTTTTTGAAAATCTAAACGATTAAAGATTGAAAATTGAATCAAAAATAGCAAAAAAAGCGATTTTCCGTTGAAAAAATGAATAAATTATGGAAAAACTTG